CTTAAGCAAAATAAAATCACCTTAAATATGAAGAAATGTGAAGTTATGCTAATTGAGTCTCACCAGAAATTAAGATTTGTTAATTAGGTACTTAACATTAAAATTGGAATTGAGCACATTAAACAAGTCGAATCGTGCAAATATATAGGGATTATAATTGATAGACACTTAACATGGAAAAAAACAAATTGATTTAGTTTGCTCTAAAGTTTCTAAGGGTATTGGTGCCTTAAAAAGAGTTAAATGTTTTGTCCCTAATGATTGTTTAATTACCTTAAATAATTCTATCATCTTGCCTCAGTTTGAGTATTGTTGCGAAGTTTGTGGCAACTATAGTGATACTTTGGCTGCAAAACTTCAAAGATTTCAAAATAGGGCGGGACGTGTTATCCTCGGTTGCAAATGGGATGAACCAGCTGCAACAGTGTTAGACAGTCTGAGCTGGCAAAGTCTGTATCTCAGGAGATCCAGGAAAGTGTCAATTTTTATGTATAAATCTGTAAATCTACTACTTATGCCCTTATATATTCAAAATCTTTTCAAATTTTAAAAACAAAGTGTTTACAGTTTGCAACATTTTGATTGCCTTAAACTCCATATTCCTAAACCTAACAGTAATTTCAAGAAACGTAGCATAGTGTATAGGGGTTCACATCAATCCCATTTGAGATTAGATCATCGCCTTCTCTTTCGATTTTTAAATCAAATTTGTAATGTTATTCTTATATTTAATTATTATTCTATTATTATTATTTTTATACTATATATAATTCTATTATACATTATATTATATTTGACTTTTGGGTATACACGACCATTTGTAAAACAACCTTTCATGTCTAAATAAAATAAATGAATGAATGAATTGGCACTGCCGCAATGCCAAAAACTGCAGTTTCCCATTGGCAATACCACATTCAAAAAGCTGTTGTTTAATTAATCAAAATGGATGTTTTGAACGATAGAGGACATTATTGTATCAATAATTGATTAGGTCTAAAATAATAATAATAATACCAGTAATAATAACAGAGCTCGAATAATACTTTAATGAATTAATAATACTTTAATAGGCATATTTATGATAGCTTGATTAATGAGAGAATAATGAATCAGCATATTAAATTAACACATATGAACACAAGACACAGCTATTGGGATCAAGTGAAAGTGAGTTAGCTCACTGTTGTTGCAAGTTGTTGCTCTTGATCTGCAGTAGCAGTAGTAGAATAAAACGGAAAAAATCCTATCTTTTTAATTTTCACTTATAATAGAGATTCAAAAAAGTGACATGCCATATGCCGTCACCCTTGAGAAATATTTGAAGAACTGTCAAGTGATGTTGTTTGGTATATTTTTGAAATTTTTTCCAGTAGGAATTTTTTCGTCATTTGTCAATAAACCCAACTATTGAATAAATCAAGACCTCATTCTGCAGCCCAAAACAACAGATATTTGCACCTTATGTGCTCTTGTAATTTTTCCATAGGGCCTGTAAACAATAGTTCACATTGCTGCTTCCACAGCTACTGTTTACTGCATTCTTTGTCCTTCAGTGAGGATGAGTATGACAGTGGAGTATGTATTACGTGTCAGCCAATTTGTTGCCCATGGTCTTGTAAAAAATAATCACTGATTATTATGAAATAGTAGTAGTCCAAATTTATAAAAAAAGGTGATAGAAAGGATATAAATAGCCTCATACTAAGCCTCAGCATTTTGTGATAGGCCATTGCTAATTAATATTTGTAAATCATTTTTTATCAATAATCAACTGTAGCACGATTTTTTAGGCATTAATACAAATAGAATACAATAAGTGTTGTACCATTATGATCTATTATACGCTTGAGGAGCCAGGCAGCTAAAGGAAAGGATTATTTTCCTCTTAAAATTGTGCTTTTTACCTTAATCTGATTTGATTGTTGTGTTTAATGTGTCCATGAAGGTTTGTGGAAGTTTTCTGTGGTGTTTTTTTAAAAGTATTCCTGTGTTTTTTTTAAAGTATTGTGATCGTGTTATTTTTGAGCTGTTTCCTAGCCCTGGCTTCGTTTAATCAAAAGACAGCTGGTGACTAACACCCTTGGATTGACTATTGTTCTAAGCATTGCATGCACAGTCTAGCTCAAAGTGAACCGAACCCGCTAGTGTTACATAACCCACATTCCAGGTTGAGGGAGTGTCGTAAACTAGTGCACGTAAGGCAGCCTGAGTACTCCCTGTATTCTTGTTCAGTGTCTGTTACTACTGTCATTTTTTAACTTTGTTTCTGTTGCTGCATTTCAACGTTTTTGATATTTTTGTATATAGATATTTTAGAAGATTTTGGAAATTTTAAAGTGGATTTTAACCCTGAGGTAGGCCCTTTTTAAAGCGCCAAGCAGCATTAAAAAGATATGATTTACACAATTAGCGAATTTTATAAAATTTGCCAACGGTGTACAGCAATTCCGGTCAAAGATTTTTTCTCCGGAATTAACCATCTTGGAATAGATGGCAACCAGACCATGCAGATGTAGTGTCAGCAGGAACAAGCAGAGGCATATACCTGTAAGGGTAAAATCATCTCGAATATACGACCGTACTCAACACGTTAAAAATAAAGGAAGTAATTATATTAACTCAAATGTTGTTTCTAAACTGACCGATCGACCAAGTTTTTTTTTGGTCATTTGGATAACTTAACGCTGATTAACACACTCTGGTTACGTTCATTTTTGTTGTCAACAAATTCTATTTTACAAACCAGTCGAATGAAAATAATACTCAACGAAAAATCTTAGTCAAAGAAATGAACCAGTCGATTAAGCCCAATGTTATGAATACATAAGGAAAATAACCTTTTTTAAGCTCTAGAAACCATCTCTGAAACATGGGAAGCCCAAGAAAGCTTGTCCTAATTCTTAATCCCGAGAAGCTTTATATGGGAGACTTATATCCTATGCAATAGCTCATGTCATGTTCCTTACAGTCTCTCAAATTATCAACTCTCAATCTCATTAAAAAAATAAGGGCATTCCACAACAATTATTATTGTATAATTAGCAACTTACTGTAGGCAGATGAAATAAAGTCTTTTATCTGGATCCAGAACCAAAGCAAATTATAATGCAATTGGCATTTTGCTGTAGAGGCTGGGATCCAGCTGATTTTTTGGTATTTTGAACTCCAAGTGCCTAATTTGCATATTTAAAATGGCATTCATCCAAATTACGTTTAAGACAGACTTTATATGGCAATATTAGGCTTTAAAAATTTTGTCCTATGATCACTTCATACAGAGACTAGAAAAGGTGAGGCCTATTTCTTTGATGAAACTATATCTTTTCTATCATAAAATTCACAATTATACATTTAATGGGCTTAAATTAACCTGATTTTGAACTGTTTATTTAGTGAATTTAGCCTCGAATACACATGAAGCAATTATCTCATTAAAATTTTAGTATTCAATCAATCTAGTATTTAACATCTCAGAACAAATATCGTGTACAAACTGGTAATAGCCATCTAAAAGAATCACCCATTCAAAAGAAAATTACATCGACCTTTAATAGCAAATTACAGTAATAGAGCCTGGGTTCCAGGCCATAAACCTTTTTATTGCACTTAGTGTGCACCATACCAAAGTTAATTGGCATTCCATACTTAATTTCTTTCATGAGAAAAAAATATTAAAGGACTTACAGCTAATCTATGATAGATCATAAATCAAGAAAACAAATTTAGATAATTTGAAAATATATAAAAACAAATAAATGAATTAAAGCTTATGATATTACCCTTGGTATGGAAAAAAGATGTTAGTATAGAAAATTTCTAACATCTTTAATTATCACTTGAGGTGTTTCTCCATACAAAGGGTACTATCATAAACTTTAATTCATTATTTGTTTTATTGACAGATAAAAGTAAAAAATAAAAAAAATAATAATTAGAAAATATAATATATAGATAAATCACTGACATGTTTAATTTTAAATTGAGGAGTTTATGCATACTAGTTATTACTAGATAAATTATTGTCACAAGATTTAATGAATTAGTTATTTTTATGTATACTTTTTTTATGTGATTTTGTTTAAAGCTTGCTTTGGATACCTTTTTCTATTTATCATGTTTCCTTATTTATTTTTATTGTTTTATTCTCTAATAAGTCATGATAAAATGTAATAAATATTTTATTCGCCCGTCAACAAATCATTATGGTAATCGTTTTTCTTGGGCTTCTGTTTTTCTTTGGAATGCTTTGCCTATTACAATCCAACAGGCAACTTCCATTGTTGATTTTGAGGCAGCTTTAAAAACTTACCTTTTAAACGTGTACTTTTCTTAAATTTCTCCTAGCATTATTTATTTTTATTGTTTAGCACATTGAGGCTTTAGTATAATGAGCTATATAAGCCAAAATTATTATTATTATTATTATAAACTGTGACGGAAATGAACAGTAAAGGAACAGTAAAGTACATTCAAGCATGAAACAGGAACACCCAAAAATTTGTCAACCCCTTGACAAACTGGCAAACTGTACTAGTAGCTTATATACTTACCCAGTTTTCTACATTTTAAGTATATTTTGCAGTTACTTTTAAAACAAATTAACACCAGTTTTTGCATATGTTGAGTGACAGTAGTTTTTATATGTCTAGAATGTTGCCTGAAATTATGAGTTTAGACACTAAAATCGTATCTTCAGTTTATTTATTTCCATTTTTATGCACATTTTAGATAAATTTGGCAACCATTTTTAAAAATGGGGGCCATTTTTATACAAGGTGTAAAATCAAGTGTCAGCAGGCTTAGGGTGACCAGAAGGGATTAATTAGGATATCTGGCCATGTGGATTGCTTGTAACATTCCGCTCCTTCTAACTCATTTTTTCCTAGACTAATACTCATGGTAAATGGCTTCATAAAAATTGTCTGTGATGTAAACATCTTTACCAGAAACAACAGTACAGTAATATGAATTTTAATATTAAAGATAAAATATAAGTTGTAGATTTAAGAATTTTAATTATTAATCATGCAAAAATTACTTTAAAGGGGAGACAGAAAGTGAGACACATGATGTACCATCCCCTGCCACCTTTGAAGATACATCTGAACAGTTATCAAGTGATGAACAGAAGACACTGCTAGTGGGATCAAGTGAAAGTGAGTTTAGTTATTTTCGTATTAAATTGTTGCTTTCATTGTTGCTGTATATTACTGTAGAGTAAAACAAACTTTATCCTCCTTAATTTTACCATAATAGAGACTCAAAAAATTGAGACATCTGATTTACCATCACCTGCCAGCATTGAAGTAAAACCTGAAAAATTATCAACTGATGCGCACAAGACACAGCTAGTGGGATCAAGTGAAAGTGAGTTTAGTGAAATTATATTGTTGCAGTAGCTATAGAACAAACACTACTTTATAGTTATTTCACTATTATAGTTGTTGATGATGTAGCTCTTACTCTGCAGTAGCAGTAGAATAATAAAATAAACATTTATTCTTCTTAATTTTCAGCAATAATGGAGACTCAAAAAAGTGACATGCCTGATGTGCCATCCATTATGACCTTTAAAGGGTCATCTGAAAAATTGTCAAGTGATGAAATCAAGACACAGCTAGAGAGAACAAGTGAAAGTGAGTTTAAATATTTAAATAATATATTTTGGTTTATTTGCGTAGCAGCAATATATGTCTTTTCATATCAAACATCCTTTTTAATTTCCACCTACAATAGGGAGACAAAAATAATACACACCAGGTATGCCATCCACCACCCTCTCCAGAACATATTTAGCTGTTCCCTGGCTAAAGGCCTGTTTATACTTGGAACAATAATTGATAAAAATCTAAAAAGCAATTGCTCATTTAGAAAATAAAAGAAATATGAAAAGTTTGTATTGTATTTGTTAAAATTGGATGGTGAAAACAATAATAATGTGAACTGTAATAATGTAGGGAAGATGAAGAGAATTTTGAAATGGTTCTCCATCCTTCATCAGCGAGTGATGTGACTATTAAAATGTCAACACTATTTTACTGCAAATGAATTTTCATGAAGTTTAACATTATCATTAATAAGCATTTCACATTCATTATTCAATATCAATTTATCCAACTTCAATTTCACTAGAGGGGAGAGAGCATAGGACATACCTGTAGCTCTAGATCAATTGAATTTCTCAATTGTTAAATATTGTCTTTTAAAATGTATATGAACATTCCCCACTATTTTAGTCAGTGCTGTTCAGAAGTACCACATGAACCTAAATATTTGTTTTTCTGTTTCAATTCATGGATACTGATAGCTAAATGTCCAGCAGTTTGTTTTTGTTTAAGTTGGTTTTGGTTCAAGTTAGTTTTGGTCAGAGTTTGTTTTGGCTGTCTGTTGGGCTGAGTTGGTTTTTGTCTGTGATTGAAGTATTGAATTTAGGTTTGGTCCAAGTTGTTGGTGATTTTGGTGTTAATTTTTATTTCGGTCTTAACTAATTCGGTCTTAAGTGACAAAAAAGTAGCAAGGATGTAGCAGTACACCTTTGAATGTGGTACAGTATGTTCATGGCCGGCGGAAGCGGGGGGCCAGGGGACCGGGCGACCGGGCTCGCCCACTATTTGGCGAAAAATATATAATGTCTGGAGAATTTTGTATGATCGGAAATGCAAAAAAAGAAGAAGGGAAGAAGGTGAAGGATGGGAAAGAGAATGTTTATCCAGTACCTGACCGAGTTACATTTTCTTACAATTCACATTGGCGGATCTGGGGGAGTGGGATCATGGGTCCTGACCCCTCCCTTGGGCAACAAAAAAATGGGAAAAAGAAAAGAATTCTAGACCTACCTTTACAGGACCTGTGAGCTGATTTTTTTTGTTTTTTTGTTGCTATTCGAAAATTAGAATTTTGAAGAACATAGAATTCATTAAAACACACTTCAAATGTCGGGAAAGCTCAATTCCCGCCACCCTTTCTTTTTGGGATTTATCGATTCATGGAAAAAAGAATACGCATGCAACTACTCATTTGTTTATGTATGTATACACACATAAAATAGAAAATGAGAAAAATTTACCTGACCTTTTTTAAGAGGGGAAAACCTTGAATTTTAAAAGTCATTAAAAGACATTTCAGAAGTCAGGTAAGCTCATCTCCCACCATCTAGAAATCGAAATTTTTCCGGGGAACCCGGACCCTTTATCTTTGGAGTTCATTGATTAATTGAATCATTTTCAAGGAGTGGGGGGGGGGGGGNNGGGTGGAACCTTGAATTTTGAAGAATTTAAAAGTCATTAAAAGACACCACAGAATTCGGGAAAGCTCATTTCCCGCCACCTAGGAATCAAAATTTTCCCGGGTAAGATTTATATGTATGTATACACACATAAGGCCTATTTACTGTAATAACAATGGGAAAAAATATTATCTGACCGTTTTCAAGAGTGGAAAACCTTTAATTTTGAAGAACTTAATTAATTGGTGATCCGCTTCTCTTGTTATTGTCAGAGATCTTTTTTTTTTTATTCTACCTTTCCTTTCATTTCTGTTCGCACGATATCTCAAAAAATGCCACGAGTTACGCACAATTGCTGTCAACGAACATTTGGCTTGGTCTGGAATAGTCATGGTAAGCTTTTCAACGCGCTCAGTCATGGGTGACGTCATCTACGCGCAATTTTCCGTTTTTACATTATCGATCATATAAGCCTAACCAATTGCCATTTTGAAATCGTATTAAGTAAGCATTAACTTCGGGTGTATGTTGTACGTGCGTTTCACTACGCGCGCATACGCGTGCGTCAAAATTTCAAAATGCTCAAAATCACTTTTTGACTAAATTAGAGCACGTTTTAGGCAATTTTAAGCATTTCAAATTTTTTTGAAATTTTCCACTACGCGCACGCACTTTTATGTGCGCAGCACGTACGAAAGCTAGAAATAACGTTATTTTACATATTTTGGGTTCCTGAAATTGTTTTCACAAATTTGCATTCTTTTCGGTCATCTTTTGGCCAATAGCAATGCCGTACGTGCGCATCAAACATAGGTATCTTTGCGCGTATTTGTGCCGATATACAGTTAAATTATGCTAAAATCAGACCTATTTTTAATCAGTTATAGCTCCTTAGGTTGAAAGGTGACCCCCAATTTTTATTACATATTCTGAAAGCACATAAGTTGTAAATATGATTTTATAGATCATAATGGCTGATCGGACATTGTGACGTCATCATATTGGCATCTGAATTCAAAGAAAGTAAATTATAGCTATGACGTCATTTTTTAAAATACGCATTTGAGCGTATCTCGCTTATCCTTGATCGATCGTCTTCCAACTTTGAGTATGTTATAGCTGAGACAATTCTCTTTCATATATTTAACATCTTTTTACATTTTGATGACGTCATCATGGTCAAAAAAATTGTTTTTTCTGACCCCCTCATTTCTCTTTCTTCAAAACGTTGATGAGCCCATATAATCTTAACCATTCGTCATTTCTAAATCATATTAGGTGAGCATAAGCTTCAGGTCAAGGTTGAATGTTATGTACCTTAATTTTCCGTTCGCGCTTTTTAGCGTGCACGTACGCATGCGTCAACATTTATATATGCATAAAACCATGAATATTTTTAATCAGTTATAGCGCCTTAGGATGAAAGGTGACCCTTAATTTTTATTACATAATCTGAAAGCTCATGAGTTGTAGATATGATTTTTTACTTCATAATGGCTGATCGGATATTGTGACATCATCATATTGCCATTTGAATTAAAAAGCTGAATTTTTATTTATGATGCCATTATGTTTATACTCGTTTGAACGTATCTCGCTTATTCTTGATTGATTGTCTCCCACCTGTGAGTATGTTATAGCTAAATCAATTCTCTTTAAGACATGTCCCTTTATTTGGTGATCCGCTAACGTTAGCGGATCACCTATTGTTATTGTCAGGATCATCATCATCATCTTTTTTTTATTCTTCTTTCTTTCTCCCCTTTTCTGTTCGCACGATATCTCAAAATTGCCACGAGTTACGCACATGGTCGCTACATCGATCATTTTGTCTTCGCCTGGAATAGTCATGGTAAGGTTTTCAACGCGCTCAGACATGCGTGACGTCATCTACGTGCAATTTTGCGTTTTTACATTATCGATCATATCAGCCTAATCAATTGCCATTTTGAAATCGTATTAAGTGAGCATTAACTTAAGGGTTAATGTTGAATGTACAGTACCCTAATTTGACGCGTGCGCTTAATAACGCACGTGCACGCGTGCGTCAAAATTTCAAAATGCTTAAAATCACTTTTTGACTAAATTAGAGCACGTATTAGGACATTTTGAGCATTTCAAATTTTTTTGAAATTTTCCACTACGCACGCGCATTTTTACG